CCAAAACCATAAGATACCTAGGAATAAATTTAACCAAAGAGGCAAAGGATCTGTACTCAGAAAACTATAAAATAATCAGGAAAGAAATTGAAGAAGACACAAAGAAATGGAAAAACGTTCCATGTTCATGGATTGGAAGAACAAACATTGTGAAGATGTCAGTGCTACCTAGAGCAATCTACACATTCAATGCAATCCCCATCAAAATACCATCCACCTTTTTCAAAGAAATGGAAGAAATAATCCTAAAATTTGTATGGAACCAGAAGAGACCCCGAATAGCCAGAGGAATATTGAAAAAGGAAAGCAAAGCTGGCGGCATCACAATTCCGGACTTCCAGCTCTATTACAAAGCTGTCATCATCAAGACAGTAAGGTACTGGCACAAAAACAGACACATAGATTAATGGAACAAAATCGAGAGCACAGAAATGGACCCTCATCTCTACGGTCAACTAATCTTTTAGAAAGCAGGAAAGAATGTCCAATGGAAAAAAGACAGTCTCTGCAACAAATGGTGTTGGGAAAATTGGACAGCCACATGCAGAAGAATGAAACTGGACCATTTCCTTACACCACACACAAAAATAGACTCCAAATGGTTGAAAGACCTAAACGTGAGACAGGAGTCCATCAAAATCCTAAAGGAGAACACAGGCAGCAACCTCTTCGACCTCAGCCGCAGCAACTTCTTCCTAGAAACATCGCCAAAGGCAAGGGAAGCCACGGCAAAAATGAACTATTGGGATTTCATCAAGATAAAAAGCTTTTGCACAGCAAAAGAAACAGTCCACAAAAACCAAAAGACAACCGACAGAATGGGAGAAAATATTTGCAAACGACATATCAGATAAAGGGCTAGTATCCAAAATCTATAAAGAACTTATCTAACTCAACACCCAAAGAACAAATGATCCAATCAAGAAATGTGCAGAAGACATGAACAGACATTTTCCAAAGAAGACATCCAAATGGCCAACAGACACATGAAAGAGTACTCAACATCGCTGGGCATCAGGGAAATCCAAATCAAAACCTCCATGAGATACCACCTCACACCCGTCAGTATGGCTAAAATTAACAAGTCAGGAAATGACAGATGTTGGCGGGGATGTGGAGAAAGGGGAATCCTCCTACACTGTTGGTGGGAATGCAAGCTGGTGCAACCTCTCTGGAAGACAGTATGGAGGTCCCTCAAATCAGCTGAAAATAGAGCTACCATACGATCCAGCAATTGCACTACTGGGTATTTACCACAAAGAGACAAATGTAGGGATCCAAATGGGTACGTGCACCCCAATGTTTATAGCAGCAATGTCCACAATAGCCAAACTGTGGAAAGAGCCAAGGTGTCCATCGAGAGATGAATGGCTAAAGAAGATGTTGTATATATACACAGTGTAATATTATGCAGCCATCAAAAGGAATGAGATCTTGCCATTTGCTACGACGTGGATGGAACTGGAGGGTGTTATGCTGAGTGAAATAAGTCAATCAGAGAAAGACATATATCATGTGACCTCACTGATATGAGGAATTCTTAATCTCAGGAAACAAACTGAGTGTTGCTGAGTGGTGGGGGGTGGGAGGGATGGGGTGGCTGGGTGATAGACATTGGGGAGGGTATGTGCTATGGTGAGCGCTGTGAATTGTGCAAGACTGTTGAATCACAGATCTGTATTTCTGAAACAAACAATGCAAGATATGTTAAGAAAAAAGAAAAAGAAGAAGATAGCAGGAGGGGAAGAATGAAGGGGAGTAAGTCGGAGGGGGAGAGGAATCATGAGAGGATGGACTCTGAAAAACAAACTGAGGGTTCTAGAGGGGAGGGGGTTGGGAGGATGGGTTAGCCTGGTGATGGGTATTAAGGAGGGCACGTTGTGTGTGGAGCACTGGGTGTTATATGCAAACAATGAATCATGGAACACTACATCAAGAACTAATGATGTAATGTATGGTGATTAACATAACAATAAAAAAATTTTTTTAAAAAGATAAATACTTAAGGTCTGGATAAAGAAAGGTAAACCTGCAAAGGAGATGGAGGGGAATAACATCTAGGTAGGCAAAAGGGAAATCAAGTAACAAAGCCAAAAGAAGCCAATGTTTAAAAAAAAATTAGCCCGGTGATGGGTATTAAGGAGAACACGTAATAAATGGAGCACTGGGTGTTATTCGCAAACAATGAATCATGGAATACTACATCAAAAACAAATGATGTAGGGCGCCTGGGTGGCTCAGTTGGTTAAACGACTGCCTTCGGCTCAGGTCATGATCCTGGAGTCCTGGGATCGAGTCCCACATCGGGCTCCCTGCTCAGCAGGGAGTCTGCTTCTCCCTCTGACCCTCCCTCCTCTCATGTGCTCTCTCTCTCTCTCATTCTCTCTCTCAAATAAATAAATAAAATCTTAAAAAAAAAAAACCAAATGATGTAATGTATGGTGCCTAACATAACAAAAAATAAATAATAAATTAATTAATAAATAAATAAATAAAAAGAGGGTATAGCCACCACATTCAATACACTTGAGAGGTACAGCATAATGAGCCTAAAAGTGGCCATATATGCAACAACAGGCTGGTAACTGGGTACACTAGCAACAGCAAATTTGCTTGAATAATCAGACAGAAGGCAGATGGAATGGGTTGAGGCATTACTGGGATATGAAAAAAATGGAGTAAAAATAATTATGCAGACTCTTCTGTGAAGTTTAGCTGTGAGATAAAGGAGAGAGATGGGTGGTAGCTGGAGAGAGGCATGGCATCAAAAAAGGCATTATTTTTTAATTGGAAACAGTTCATCATCTTCAAACGGCAATGAGAAGGATCCAGTTGAGAAAGGTTTAAATAGATACTGCCACTCTAGTTACCATTTCCCACTAAAAGGAACCTTCCAACAATTCTGGGGACTTTCTAATGTCCCTTGAAAAAGCCCTTCCTGCTGAAACTTGCTGGAATGAATTTGTTGTCAGCTAAGTGTGCTAAGCAATACAAAGAACCACTGTGGGAATATCTGTATAAACAAGCGATGGCTTGGTGGTGGTTTTGTGGGCACAGACTGAGATTCTTAGATGAATGACTGTGGATATGGAGCAAAGCCTGAGGCATGACTGCACGAACAACTGGTTGAGGTGCACTGGAGAAAAGTTAATTGGCAGTAGAGGTCAGGAATTGAGAGGCCCGGATGTGGGTGGGTTGCCAATATGGATACTGCAGTCCCCAGAGGGATGGCAGGACAGGGGTTTTGAAAGGGGTTTGAGCCCACAGGCCAAAGTCCTCAGTCATTGACAGGACTGATTTGAAGACCAGTAAACAACAGGGGTGAGTTGGGAAAGAGAAGGAGGTTTAGCCAAATAGCTAAGTTAGCAGGGAAAAGACCTCTAATTAGCAAGGAAAAGAAAGTTACTGAAGTAAGAAGAAGTAAAGGGAATAGCAATTCTGCTCCTGGCCTCAAGACAAACAATCCGAGAAAGTAGTCACCACTCTGGGCTGCTCCTAAGTCAGGAGACAGATTTAAGGAAAGTCAAGGAAATGGAGTAAAGGCTAAGAGCCATGGTGAAAGATCTTCGAAAGTGTGCTAATTGCTCATCTCAATTCCAGATGTCACACAGTGAAAGGGTTTGCAAGATGGTAGAGAATTGGGAGAATTAGTCAGGAAAAGAATATTCTGAGCATGAGAAGGATGAACCATTCAGGGCTGGGAGGAAGGGTGGATTTATATTCCAGGCACTGGTTGCAGATAAGAGAACGTGGACTGGATGGTCCAGTTAAGGAGGGTGGGTATGGTCTCCTGATCAGAGCTGACCAACCTGGCAGGATGATGGTGGTCCCAGAGCTCCAGACTCTGTGTGATGGTCCCCTGGCCAGTCTCTCTTCCTCAGTCCCATGCTCCTAACTGCTACTGCTATTAGTCTCCTCACTGTTACTTAATATTAGCCCACAAGCCTATTTTCGGGTGTTACTCACTCTGGTTCCCTAAACTATGTCTAGGCCAAGGGTCAGCAAACAATGACCCAGTACAGAGACTGTATTTTGGCAAAGGTGAAAATACTATCTGGCCCTTTACTAAAAGAACTGATTGACCCCTCACCTAAATCACCAAATTCTACATGTCCAACTTAGAGCAAGATATGCAATGCAATTTTTAAAATTCAATTAACCCGGTAACTCAATTCCTTGAAATTGTTGCAAAAGCATTATTTCACAGAAGCAAAAAGTTCTAACCAAAAGTGTTTTTAAAATAATGATTTCTAATACAAAAAAATAATAATCCAAGTATCTAATAGTAGAGGAAGAATCCAAGCCCTCTCTGGGAAGCCTTTCCTTACTATGTCCAATTCTCTAGCTCTATAGCAGCTATACTCTGTGTCACATAGCTTTTAACTATAAATACTCTCCTTCTGGAAAGTAGCACTTATTATGTCTTCCTGATTATTAAGGTTGTATATTCATCGCAGAATATTGGGAAAATATGAAAAAGTATCAAGAAAAAACCACTGCATCCTTCCCCCATACTAGAAAGCTACTACTGATAATCTGGTGAATGCTCTGCCTGTCTTCTTTCTACACATTTGTACATGTGGAGATAGGAGCAGCATATATTACAAAATAGTGGTTAGACAGATATGTCCTTGTATTAGTATACATGAATACTTAGAACCGATTCTCTGCTACTGGGTATCGAAGAAATTTCCAATTTTTCACTCCTATAAATAGTAATTCATCATACAAATCTCTAATTATTTCCTCAGGAAAGGTAAATACCATCTTATTTTTCTTTTTGAGCAACTCAATGAGTGGTTGTCTAATCTCCTCAACCCATTACATGCTCCTAGAGGTCAAGTTATAAAATATATTAACAGACAAGCAAAGATAAGGCAAAAGAAATCTATGATTACTACAATCAGAAAATAGTCCCATGGTAATTTCACAATGCTACTTGCTATTTAATGTAAATTAGAATCTGATAATATATTTGAGATGATAAATATTGTACTTACAACACTAAAGAGAAAAATAGGTTCACATTGATCTCTAAATGGCTGCAAAGTCACAATGTTGTCAGCTTCTGCCTGAAAAAATATAAGTAAATATATTTTTATAAAAAAAAAATATATAAAAATATATATGTATATAACATATGTACATATATATAATATAAATATTTCATATAATAATAGAGGAAATATCCAAATCACCAGATACACTATGTTGAAAAATGCAGATCACACAAAATTTTTATTTTTATGTTTACTACAGCATTTTCTGAGTATGTTATAGTTGTTCTAAGGATCAAATTGCATACACTAGTTGATTCAGGACATGCATCATTTGGCCTAAGCCTTACTTCTCACTGTTCACTTTGTGGTACCCAACCTGCAGCTAAACTTACCTACTTCCAGTTTGCTATACAACACCCATACTTTCCTCCCTCCTTACCCGCTCTTGTCCTTCCTTTTCCAACCCAGGTCAAGTGTCCCTCCTCCAAGAATTGCCTTGCTCCCTCTTGCTGCAAATCCTCTCCTGCTCCACATGGAACTCTACTGCCCTTCCTTCGGGGACTCCATTGTTCCTTTCAGTATTGTACCACCATCATATGGGCCTATCTCACTTCCTTTTTTTTAAGTGACTCTGAGATCAAGACCTGAGCTGAGATCAAGAGTTGGACACTTAACCAACTTAGCCATCCAGGTAGGGGGCCCCCCCATCTCACTTCTTGTGATTAGATCTATGATGTTTCATATTCCCCTTTGCGTGTCACCCTCCTTCTGCATCAGTCATGGGGCCATATTTAAAAAGGAGCTTACTTTATCCAAATTTTTTGAGAGAAAATAAGCTCAAAAGAAAAAAATTAAAATAAAAAAAGGAGCTTAGTAAGTGCTTCTTGAATGAAGTGGCTGTCAAATTTCAAGTTTTTTTTAATGTTTGTAATTTTCTTAAATTTTTCTCATAAATTTCACGTTGTCCCTGTGGGAGCTAAGATGGCAGAGTAGTAGGAGGACCCTAGGTTTGCCTTGTCCCTTGAACACAGCTAGATAAATACCAAATCATTCCGAATACCCAAGAAATCTAGCTGAGGACTGACAACAAACTGCACAACTAGAGAGAGAGGAGGCCACATTGCAGAAGGTAGGAGGTGTGGAGATGTGATTTGGGGGAGAAACAGATTGCAGGTGCTGTAGAGGGGAGGGCATCCTGGTCTCGGAGAGAGGAGAGAGACAGACAGACAGACAGACAGAGGAGCGCACAAGGGATCAAGCAAGGAGCACACTTCCCCAAAGCCATTGACTGGGAAATGAGAGGCTGATTCTTGTGAGTTTTACAACCAGCAGGGCTCAAAGACTGGAGTTTTAGAGGTCTGGGTTGTGGCTGGAACAGAGCCCGAGGGCGCTGCAGTGCTCCTGTAGAGAAGGCAGGCAGGCAACCCCGGGGCCCACAGTGTGATCTGTGGATCACCTGAGACAGATCCCCCTTCTTGGAGCACATCTGGAAGAGGTGGTTTTACCTCTCCTGGGACAAAAGAGCCAGCAGGCACCACTCCCCTCCCCCGCCCATCAGCACAGGTGCGGAGACACTTGTTGAGGGCAGCTAACCTGGACACTGGCTCTTCTGTGTGTTTTGCCCCAAGCCACAAGCTCCTGCATCTTGGTGCAACCACCCTTCTGGGTCAAACCATCAATCCCAGTGAGGCAAGACCCTCCCACAGAAGACCAGCCAGGTCCCCACCACAACAGGTTCCTCAAGTTTGGAGCAGGATAGAACCCAAAGTGCCTGCACTGGTCCAGGCAGGCAAGCAACCTGGACACAGACTATGTAAACAGTGATCTGAAAAACATCCACGACACCCGAAGGGAAATTATCGCTCTTCTGGGAGGGCTTTCCTGACAGCAGTGAGCACAAAGTCCCTCCGCAGGGACAAAGGAACTCGCTGGCTCCCCTGCCCCTCAGCATAACCCAACATCAGTAAACAGCACAGCGCTAACACTGGCTGCGACATTTCTACAGCCAGCCTGGCCCCCTGCACTCTGCTGGTACTGCTTTCTTGAGCAAGTGTGCCTGAGAGCAAGGGCAGCAGGCCCCTCCCCAAGAAGACAGCACAACTCCCCCACCACACACACACCACTACCGACCACAGAGTTCTGCAGAGCTTCAGCTCTACTGGAAACAAGCAGACCAGAGCACACCTAGTTAAAACTCAGCACACTCTGACCAAGATCCAAACACTCCCCGCTGCAGGCTAGGAGAGCCTCTGCAGACAGCTGACCTGAGGAAAAGAGCAGCCATAATACAGCAGCTGAGTGCACACAGCATATACCAGAGACACTTCCTGAGGCACCAGTCCTGAACACTGTATGGCCTCTTCTTCGTAAAGCCATTACTCTCAGGGGCAGGAAACAACACAAGCTTTTCTAACACAGAGAAGAAGACAGAAACCTAGACAAAATGCCAAGACAGAGGAATTCATCCCAAAAGAAAGAAGAAGCAAAGGTCACGGCTAGGGATCTAATTGAAACGGATGTAAGCAATATGCCAAAGCCAGAATTTTAAAGCAACAATCATAAGGATACTAGCTGGCCTTGAGAAAAGCATAGAAGACATCAGGGAGTCTCTTACCACAGAGATAAAAAGAGCTTAAAGCCAATCAGGCCAAAACGACAAATGCGAGAACTGAGATTTGAAACTGACTGGATGCAATGACCACAAAGTTAGAAGAAGCAGAGGAATGAATAAATGATACAGAGAATAGAATTATGGAAAATAATGAAGCTGATCAAAAGAGGGAAAGAAAAATCTTGGATCATGGAACTAGACTTAGAGAATTCAGTGACTCGATGAAAATAACATTTGCATCAAAGGAGTCCCAGAAGAAGAAGACAGAAGGGGGCAGAAGGTTTATCTGAGGAATAATAGCTGAAAACATCCATAATCTGGGGATGGATACAGACTTACAGATCCAGGAGGCATGGAGAACTCCCATCAAAATCAATAAAAGTAGGCCAAACCAAGACATATTGTAGTTCAATCTGCAAAATACAGATAGAAAGAAAAAAATACTGAAAGCGGCAAGACAAAAGAAGTCCCTAACTTATAAGGGAAGATAAAAAGGTTAGCAGCAGATCTCTCCAGAGAAACTTGTCAGGCCAGAATAAAGTAGCATGATATACACAATGTGCTGAATGAGAAAAATCTGCAACCAAGAATATACTATCCAGCAAGATTATCATTCAGAATAGAAGGAGAGATAGCGTTTCCTAGACAAATGAAAACTAAAGGAGTTCATGACCACTAAACCAGCCCTGCAAGAAATATTAAAGGGGATTCTTTGAGTGGGGAAGAAAGACCGAAAGCAACGAAGACTAGAAAGGAACACAAGAAATCTCCAGAAAGAAGGACAAAACAAGTAATAAAATGGCACTAAATTCATATCTATCAATAATTACTCTGAATGCAAATGAACTAAATGCTCCAATCAAAAGCCATAGGGTGTCATAATGGATGAAAAACAAGACCCATCGATACGCTGCTTAGAAGACACTCATTTTAGACCTAAAGACACCTGCAGATGGAAAGTGAGGAGATAGAGAACAATCTATCATGCTAATGGAAGTCAAAAGAAAGCCATACTAGCAATACTTATATCAGACAAACTAGATTTTAAACCAAAGACTGTAATAAGAAATGAAGAAGGGCACTATATCATAATAAAGGGTTCTATCCAACAAAAAAACTAACAATTATAAATATTCATGCTCCTAATTTGGGAACAGCCAATTCTACCAACCGTTTAATAACCAAAGTAAAGAAACACATCGATAATAACACAATTAACAGTAGGGGGCTTTAACACCACACTCACAGCAATAGATAGATCATCTAAGCAGAAGATCAACAAGAAAACAAGGGCTTTGAATGACACACTAGACCAGATGGACTTCACAGATATATTCAAAATGTTTCATCCTAAAGCAGCCGAATACACATTCCTTTCATGTGCACATGGGACATTTTCCAGAACAGATCTCATACCAGGTCACAAATCAGGCCTCAGCAAGTACAAAATGATTAAGATCATACAGTGCACATTTTCTGACCACAACACTATGAAACTTGAAGTCAAGCACAAGAAAAAATTTGGAAAGACAACAAATACATGGAGGTTAAAGAACATCCTACTGTAGAATGAATGGCTTAACCAGGAAATTAAAGAAGAAATTAAAAAATACATGGAAGGAAATGAAAATGAAAACATGATGGTCCAAAACCTTTGGGATGCAGCAAAAGAGGGCATTAAAAGGGAATATCTAGCACTACAGACTACCTCAAGAAGCAAGAATAATCTCAAATACACAAACTAACTTTACACCTAAAGGGGCTAGAAAAAGAATAACAAATGAAGCCTATAGTCAGCAGAAGACGAGAAATAATAAAGAATAGAGCAGAAATAAACAATACAGAAACAAACAAACAAACAAAAAACCAGTAGAACAGATCAATGAAACAAAGAGCTGGTTCTTTGGAAAAATTAATAAAATTGATAAACCCTTAGCCAAATTCATCAAAAAGAAAAGAGAAAGGACTCAAATAAATAAAATCAGGAATGAGAGAGGAGAAATCATAACTAATACCACAGGAATACAAACAATCATAAGAGAATATTATGGAAAATTATATGCCAACAAATCGGGCAATCTGGAAGAAATGGATAAATTCCTAGAAACATATAAACTATCAAAACTGAAACAGGAAGAAATAGAAAACTTGAACAGCCCAGACCCATAACCAGCAAAGAAACTGAATCAGTAATCAAAAATCTCCCAACAAACAAAAGTCTAGGGCCAAAATGAGATCATTTGGTAGAGTTTTCTCTACGAGATGTTTTTGCAACCTAAGGCAATTGTTTTCAAACTGGATTTCTGAAGGTAACCACTGTGAGGAAGCCGAGAGAGGGTCCCTCAGCCCTGTCAGCCACAGGAGCTGTGTTGTAATCTCTCTCTCTCTCTCCCCCTTTTTTTTTTAGCATACTGGATTCTACATGACTTTCTTTTCTTTTTTTTTTTCCTCAAGCTTCCACAGTTTAGAAAAAAAAGGAAGGAGGTGAAAGGTACTAATCTATAATATTAAAGGACAGAAGTTAAAGAATATATTTAAAAGCACTCTAGGTATCATCATTATAATGTTTATATTATAATAAAGTATTAACAATTAGAGTATTTAATCATATAAAAGAACTGCAATAAAGAATATTCACTGAATTTTTATTATAGGTACAATGTTAGTATAAGTCTTTTAAAAGGACATGTAACAACAACAAAATTATACTGGCCACTTAGCTTAGCAACCTCATAGGCTGCTCCCAATAGAGGTTTAGCGACTATGTTAATTCTTTTCATCCTTTACAGGCAAGTCATAGCCAAAAAACAGCATCAGTTTATATGAATGTGCTATTGTTGAGTGCGCTCAAATTTAACAGAAGAGAAACTATTCAGGGATGCACAAAATTTTTTGTTCTTAAATTCAACAGATGCTAGTATTATAAAGAGTAACATGAACATATTTTGGGAAGAACTTACTAGCACTTCCCAGTGGGATGGCTATAGTAATAGAACAGATTCCTTGTGGAGCCTGAGGAATTCTGTCCGGCTGGGGTACTACTGGGAGGACAGTCAGAAGTCACTGGGTTGGGAGGAAGCACCCTTAAGACCTATATCCCTGCACAGCTCTGAGGTGAGCTGAACAGGGCGTCCAACGCACCATGTGGTCTAATTCTCCTTCCACACCCACCCCTCCGCAGCAGTGCCTAGCCAGCACATATTATCCAGGTTGGTTGACCCAGACTCCAACAAAGAGGGATTTAACACCTCTAAAGCACCTGGGAACACAGCATCAAGTTAAACCTTCTCAGTGTCTAAGGACTTCTTGCCCTGCCTTCCTATGCCCAAGTTCCCTTCCAGGTAGCCTGACAGGTGTGCAGGGAGGCTGCCTTTTTATTGGTCTCCCCACTGATCTCAATTCCTTTTTAGACACTGGAGTTTTCCCATGAGTCCTAGCCCATGAACTTGCACTCCTATCACTTCCAGACAAACTTCCCTAATGCCAACTGCCAGGACTCAGAAGAATTTTCCAACCCTTGATTCTCCATCATCCATTTGCCAACTGTTAGAGCCTTCTGATATTGTTTTTTAACTTGTGTTAACCTGTGTCTACTGTATGTGGCAATCCCCATTAGGCCCCATTCTGTGTCCTCTGAACTTCATTTTTCTTCCCTGCCAAGGATTGAGTCTCAAATCATATTCCAGATCCATTCAGGTGGCTCAGAATGAAGCAGGCTGTTACAGATTGTCACCCTTTCAAAAACTGCAACACTCTTACTTCAGAAGACAAAGTCAGCATCTGGATAAAAAGATTTAACAATTGTAGGGATGCCTGGGTGGCTCAGTTGGTTAAGATTCTGTCTGCGTTCGACTCGGGTCGTGATCCCAGGGTCCTGGGATGGAGTCTTGGAGTCTTGCATCAGGCTCCCTGCTCAGTGGGGGGCCTGCTTCTCCCTCTGCCTGCCGTTCCCCCTGTTTGTGTTTGCTCTCTCTGATAAATAAAATCTTAAAAAAAAAAAAAAGATTTAACAATTGTATATAGCCACCTACTCTCTTGAAGAGAAAAAATAATGAGGTGAGTTTCTAAGCCTTAGGCTGCTTAACTGTAACCCTGACTAAGAAAAAGAAGTCCTATAAAGAATGTACCCGCAGAAGGGATGGACAATTAAGTTAAGGTCAATCAACAAAATCATCCCAACATCTGGGTTGGGAAGGGTCACAGAGAGATTGTACATATGAAAACATGTAAGGGGTTGAGGTTTCATGTTTGCATTAGGGACTATGCATTTTAGGTGTAAGAAGTAAAGATATGAAATCAGTTATCTGCTTCTGAACCTTAGGTCTAGCTGGTTTGGACTTGTTTCTGCCCAACAGAAATAGATGTATTTAAAAATATATTTTTAAATTCTGTGGTTCTAGTAATCATAGTTAAAGACTAAAAAGAAACATGTGAGAATAATGTAAAAATATATTTTACTTAGTCCAAAATATAGTCATTTCAACATGTAATCACTGTAAAAGATTATTAATGAGATATTCCATTTTCCTTTTATCATACTAAATCTTCAAAATCTGGTGTGTATTTTACATTTAGAGTACATCTCAATTTGTAGGCTAACTCTGAATCAGAAACCATTGATTTGTAATTTGATTTCATAAAATGTATAGTCCAAAAAAGTAGATGCACATACTCAGGTTGTCCCAAACAACTTAAAAAGTTTTATAATTTCTGAATTGATTGTTGGTTTTTAAATTTAAATTTAAATTAATTAAAGTTAAAAATTTAGTTCCTCGGGTGCACTAGCCAACATTTCAAGTTCTCAAAAGCCATTTGTGTCTAGTGGCCACCATATTAGACAACAAAGCTCTAAGCAGGTGATAACTTGATGTGCACAAATTGAATAATCAATACAATGAAGCCCAATAAGTTTAGCCATAATATTTTAATCCCTTGTCACATCTGGCTGACAAGTGAGGGGAAAATCACTACCACTGGAAAATTGGTAACTGGGTTAAGTGCCCAGAGACCTATCCAGTAAACAGCATTTGCAGCCCCAATTCTAAAGGACACACACTGAACATCCAGTCAGGTGAAAAGAAACAGATCAACAGACAGACATCCATATGTATACTTTCTGATGTTCACAACCATGGTAAACAACCTCAACACGATGGGAAATGGGATAAAAATTGTGATTGGTTCTCAGATCCAGTAGAACTAGATATATAGTAAAACCGCCAAGTAAATATTGTCCACAATTGAAGAGCTGGCAGGTTGTTTAAAATCAGACAATCCTTAAAGACAATATCTAAACATTTGGAAGTATCAAGAAAATAACCGTTTAATGGAAATGAAATCCTTACTACAACAAAATGCAGAAGTTCATCTTCGTTCAGCTCATTTTTCAATTTTCTGAATAACGTTTGCATTGCTTTGCAAGGTCCACACCAGGCTTGGTAAACGTCGATCACTAGAAGATGATAATATTTATGGGAAAAAAAAAAAAAAGAGTCAAAGAATCCAGAATAGCAGTTTATCCCAAGGCTGGGGCCGGGGCCCAGATGAAGCAGGTTTTTACACTGCTAGTGGGGAGGCGCACTCGGGGTGGGGGGGGCGCATGAGGTGCCCTGGGCCAAACTCCTAATGGCTGGACAACCAGGAGAACCCCATTACCTGTCAGGCCTTTGTTCTGCAACATCTCATCCCACAGGCTTTGACTATTAACGACTGCCTACAAAAAGGACACCACTGTAAAGGGGTCTTCAAGGGCCAACGCGCCCCAAAGTAAAAGACTGTTGGTCGGTCATGCTCACCTGTAACTGGATCTCTCGCTTTTTGCCTGCCATTTATCCACTATCACAGGAAAAAAGGAAGACAAATAGAAAATGTTGAAGAGGAAATTTAAATTTAAATTTAAATTTACACATTCAAGCAGCATCTTAATGCCCCATAGAAATTCTCCTTCGGCAGTACCGGATTATATGCTCTCCCCTTTTGTGGGGAGAGGAGCCAATGCCGCTGAAGGATTCCTCGGGCGGGGCTCGACGCTAAATGCCCGCATCAGCCGTATTATCTACTCTCCCAATAATCCTGAGGCAAGGTAAGAATGTGAGGAGGTACATTTCATTACAAATTTTTCTTTTCCTGAAGTTTCACGGTGTTCTATTTTCATTTGCACACGTGTTAATTGTCTATGACCGTGCTCATGCATCCTTCTCGGGTCCCTCTCCACGAGGTTTAATATTTAGAACAAGACCCTAGGGTGTTCTTGAGCACATCATGAACTATCCGCAGTGTTAAGTCAGTGAGGCCCAAACGGCCCATTCCGTGGCGTCAGGGGCGCTCTGTGTGACTACGCCTGCGTGTGTGACAACGGACCTGGCACAAAACAAAGGAGTTTTCCCAGGAAGGGTGCTGGATTCTCCAACAAGCCTTACACAGAACAGGTCCTCCTCTGAGCTACACCTGGACGTTTACAGGAACGAAAATCCCCGAGGATCCAAACCAGCCCCCTGGGCGAGGCCTGTGGCCTTTGTGAGCACGGCTCCAACAGGTCCGAGTACCTAGGCGCGGAGCAGATAAACGCTGAACTGTCAGTCTGTCTGTCTGCCCGCGCGGGTCCCCCGGAAGAGGCCAGACGAGGACCCCGGGACCGGCGGCAGGAGGAGGGGCCAACGTCTGCCGCCGCCCCTCTGGCGCCGCGAGCCTGGCCCTCCCCCGCGGGGGCGGTGCCTCGAGGCTCCCCGGCCCCAGCGCGCAGGCCCGGGATCCCTAACATCCCGGGTCCTGGCCCCGACCGCGTCCTGCGCTGCTCTCGGTGAGACCGCTGCCCAGAGCCCCTGCGCCTGCGCGCTCAGGCCCCGACAGCCCCCGACGCCGCGGAGGCGCTTGCCGCCTGCAGGCTTGATCGCGGCTCTCCCGGGCTCTGGACATCTGAGTCATAATCATTGGTGTGCCGGTCCATGTTAACAGCTAGCTCGCTTGGAAATTATTACAAATCATTATAAATTTTACTGACATACGTAAAAAAAATGTGTGGCAACAAGTAAATAGTTATAAGGTATACAATATTCTATTGCAAATTCCACATAGCCAATAGATTTTTACAGAATGTTTTCACTGATTTTTGCCAGATTCTAGCATTCATAGCCAATTAATAGTTGCAACTCATTCAAAACTTGCCAGATCCCAAATATGAATAAATGCTTGGCCACTTCCACCATTAAAATCATGTTAAATACAGAAACATGTCTAAATACCAGCTTTCATACAGTTTTATCTCCTTACCATGAGTTGTTACAAAAAGTAGTCATTTTCTCACTGTTCTAAAATAGCACTCTAATCTTGAACAATAATGTTGATTATGTTTTAAAATATATCTGTTAGATAGCAATATACTGACGACCACATGTCCTCAAATTTGAAACTCTTTCTTTTTGCATAAGCTTTCCCATGAGATAACCAGTGAAACTCTATGTGGGAAAAATATTTTTCATAGGTACTCTCTATGCCACAAAAAGCATTGCAAAGATTCTCCTATTTTATGACCTAGATTCTTTTATTATTATTTTAATAAAGTTAACAGTTTGGGTATAATGTGACATGTATAGAATGGCCTAATCTCGGCTGGTCTGGATTATTGTTTATTTCCCAAGCCACTTATTTCCCAAGCTACTTGGAGCACCGTAGTGACTCTTGGCCAACACTATGGAGTATATTAAGTAAAGACAAATGATATTCTGCCACTAGGTGTCCATGAGTGGTTTTGGAGTGGACGTGTGAGCCTGTCATCACCAATCAGGAATAATAATTGGATTTAGGATTTGTTGAAACTCAGGAGTTAAGGGTGAAAGGTGAGAGGAGAATCAATGGCCACATGTAGCTGGGATGTGCCTATGTGTGACCAGCTCCCTGTAAGAAACACTTGACAGAACTTGAGCTTCCCCATGCCTTTGCAGGTAGGTGGGTGGTTGAAACCTAGAGACAAAGCATGTACTGTGCAACACAGAAATGAGAGGACAAAGAAGTCATTGAGGACACTGCTGATAACGAATATATAAATAATAACAAAGCATAATATCCTTCTCATTTCTCAGATTAGAAAATAAACACAATTAGCAATATCTAACTTTTTCTTCCTGGAATCTTACAGATTATTTTGCACACCTCAGGGAAGGTGTGCTTAACACGTTGGGGACCTCTAGATAGAAAAATCAATATATCCACAAAATATCTGGGCAAGCATAGAGATTTGCAGATAATTGGCATATTTAAATGGTGATTTTTCAAAGTCAGGAGAGCAAAGGTTAAAGAAATAGAGCCCTTAAAGAGATGGGAGGGCACAGAAGGGAAAAAGGCCCAGATGGAGGACTGGTGCTCCTTCCAGCATGACCAAAAGAAATATGACCATGTTTCTGTATCCTGTTTTTCTCTATTTTATAAAGTTATTCAAATACCTTATGCTTTTAGTGACTTTTCTGCTGTCTTTACGCAAATTATTTCTATTACAAGTATCTTGGAGATTCCCTGTGGTCTAAAACTGTTAGCATTCAAAAGTCTATATCCATAAGCTTTATTTTTATCCAGTCAATCTGTGACCAGCTCCCAAGACCTGACCTTTACTGCCCGCCTCCTTGTACTCACTGACCCCTTTGTCTCACATTGTTCCTTGAGCTCTTCTTTCCAGCTTAGCTCTTAACTCAGGCAAAAGGAAAGCGAAATCCCTCCCAGCGAAAAGGACTGCCCTGACAAGACCTCCAGGCTGCCCTGCCCGCCCAGACCAGTTTGAGCAGAACTCCTGACCCAAGCCTGTGCCAAAGGACTGTGGAGTGACCTCTAGAATGACCGACAACTACCTTTACCTCATTATAATGCTAAAATCTCCGCCCGGGGAGGAGCGCAAGGCTCATTTACATAACATACAGAAGATCTCACAGTATGATCATGCATGTGGGCTTTATGGGAAAGCTGTATGAAACTTCTCAAAGTTGATTTACAACAAATGGATGACATAAAAAGGTTTCAATTCTTAAAAAAAAAAACAAACCACTGTGACATCAGTGTGACAATTGGAGTAAATGTGGTTGGGGAAGCGAAACCAGAGACAAGATAGAAACCTACTGTAGCAATCCGGGAGGGCGGGGTTAGGGCCTACATGAAAGCAGAGACCACAGACAAGGGGCAAAGAAGACTTGTGAGATATTTGGGGGTTAGTATCAATAGGACTTGCGAAGTAGCACTTTGCAGGGGTGAGCGAGGAGAAACCACAGAAAACGCTAAAGTTTCAGATTTGGCTGAGTGAATGATGCCTTTCACATGAGGGATGGAAAAAGAAGTATCAGAACTGGAGGGAAGATCATGAATTCAGGGATTTTAGGACGACAAAGTGGAAGGAGAAGACTAATGAGTCCCACTATTATTGACTGCTAAATCGGTATTATTATGATCCACAGAATGAGTGAATACCCAGGAAACAAGTAACAGGACAAAAGTCCTTGAGTAATAATAGCAAGATCAACCTTGCCCTGTGTGATCAGTAATTTGTGAATATATAACACTTATTACGTTAAGGCTTTTCTAACAGCCCCCCCCCCACATACACATATTTTTTGTGAAATCCCTGTGAGGCAAAATTGGGTAGTGGGGGTCTTTGTGACCTTGGCCAAGTTTTTTATCCTCTTTGTAGTCCAGTGTCTTTACTGGAGATAATAATAGAACCTATTTAATCACTTTCGTGAGGATTCAATGATTTAAAGTAGATGTAAGGCTTAGAACAGTCCTTAGCTTACGGTGAGCATTCAATAATTGTTATCTATTGTCATGCAGAGATATAACTCTAAAATATTTCAATCAGTACTCTGGTGTGGGCATCATCTATCTAAAACCTGCAAAAGTACCTTTCCACAAAAATCCCTATCACTGTTAAATTAAATGGAGACTAGTGCACTAAAGCAAATTCATCAAAGTAAAAAAAAAAAAAAAAATCCCCCTGCCACAGGTGTGTGATACTGACCTTTTGGTATGGCCCTGCACCATTTCTTCTTAAGGGGGTACCATTTTTTCCTCCTGCAATCTATTTGACATTTCCACCTGAAATGGCCCAGTGGAAAATCATGTGGAAATAGAAACTTGAAATCCAGTTTCAAGACACATGTGCTTTTATAATTATTAGTGGATTTTTTTTTTTGGTTCTCTCCAAAACCAGAACGAGTTGGAAGGATTTTTCATGGGAGAGCAATGGATTCACACCAGAACCTCTTGTTAGATTCTTCAGTGCTGTGACGTGAAGTTGTCTTGGCTGAAGCTAAAGCCTCTGACCTTGCTCGCTGGGAAATGGGGAAGAGGTGGTTAAGTCCTCTTTATGGATGCATCCAAGGCATCCAAGGCCGTGTTTACCTTTTGATCTAGCACCGTGATATTATTGTCAACATCTCTGCCTCTGCACCCCACCTCATTATTTGTTTGCATCTGTTGATATTCGTGAAATCTTTGCTTTCATGAGAAGGGGAAGAGCACGTTTGAGTCAGGTAGCCCAAGACAATGCAGAGAATGGGAGTTTCTTTCCACTCTGCTCTCAGGAATGAATGTGAGTTCTTTTGGAATATCAACCAGCTTCTCTGCAGGAAACAGAATGCAACTCAGAAGGAGAAACGGAAGAGGCATTAATGAAGGGACTCTTTCCAGAGGTGTGAGCAGAAATGAGGAAGCCAACAAGGGACACTGATGTAAACAGAGATAGCAGCACCAAGTCCAGGCCTGAAGGGACAAAGGGAAGAAAAGACCTTGGAATTCTCTGTGGCATGCCCGGAGAGCAGGGCCACAAAAGCAGGAGCTGAAGCCTAGAAGGGCTGCAGGCCATGCTGGATGTGTGATGACAGCGTAGGGAAGGGGCAGAGA